AGGGCAAAATGGACTGGAGGTGTGGCTCAAGTGGTAGAGTGCCTGCCTTACAAGTGCTAAACCCTAAATTCAAACCCCAGTCCTACCATTTAAAAAAAAAAAAAGGCATTTTTGTCACTGGAGGACTCAGGGAAAGTAAGGTCAAGAAAATATTTCTTGGTTTATTTGTTCATTGCTTTTAGAATAAAATTGTGACTTTGTGTGTAGGACATAAAGGGGAAAAGTAGTGCCCATGAGGAGAGTGAAGATGCAAAAAGAAAGAGAACAGGGCTGGAGATGTGGCTCAAGGTGTAGATCACCTGCTTCACAAGTAAGTGCAAAATCCCTAGTTCAAACCTGAGTCCCAGCAAAAAAAAGAAAGAACAGAGGCAAGAAAGAAGATATCCCAAGAGTTATAGAAATCAAGGAAAGGGAATTTTTGAGGGTAAGAGAAGGAAAGTTGAGGAAACTCTTTCTGATATGAATGTGTGAACATTTTCAGTAAAGCTTACCCATAGATGTTTTGCTGAGTGATGGGGGCCAAGTTTGTAATCATGAGGAGAGAGGAAAAGGTCTAGCGTAGCCTCTGGGAACAACAGAATCCACTAGGCACCTGTGAAAATCTGGTCCAGCAGGTATAAGAAGGTCTATGGAGAGCTGTAGGCAGCCTGCCCTCCTGGCTGACCTTTAAGGGTGCCTTTTTCCTCTTTATGTAATCAAGACTTAGAGTGGAGAAATGGTGTTGGTTGGGGCAGAAGTTGTCAACTGGTAAGACTGAGGCAGAGAGCATGAACGGAGACTCCTTTGAACTGTGCTGAGTGACAAGGAGAGTGGTCTTGAAGGGTGACTAAAATGACCCACAGAAGTGACAACTTTCTCTATGGCTCCCTTCTTTATCTGGCTAGCCACCAGAACCCTGGCCTTTCTCTCTCTCCAAATCACATTAGAATGTCTCTTTTATTCAGCTCACAAATAAAAACGAGCAGAACAAGGAAATACAGACCCTTGATCATGTTGCATTATGCAGTCTTTGATGCTTTTTTGATTTAGCTTCTCATTTATATATTTTCACTTTCACAAGTCTCTAAGTTTAAATGTTTAAACATTTCCCCCTTCAATAGCCAAAGAGAAAACAAAGCAGCAGCTAATATGGTAATAAATTTATCTGTAGCTACAGGAGATAAGCTTCAATGCAATATGGCCCTAAAGTATAGCTCCCAAGCTTGTGGGGAAAGCAACCAACTTTCATGAATAAAAGAACTATAAATACTGCCGGCAGTAAATAAAGGTGAAATATAACTTGTAACTTGCAGCACACAGCCAACAACAGAGCTCCTTATAAAATAAGAAAATGTTTACAGCTTTGTTGGTGGTGTTACCTTGCACCATAGCTGGGCTGACAAGAATTCACTGTGGGGAGTTTTTCACTCACCTCCTGAAATGTTACCTATTACATCTCCTGACACCTCTGGAGTTGCTGAAGACCTGTGATAGTCACCAAGGAAACCCAGGAGTACTGATGCCACAAATAAAGAGTTTTCAGCAAATTTGAAGGTGTTAGAGAAGTCTGAGAATGGAGAGAGGGTAGGAAATGGGGTGCTGCTCCCACAAGTTGGTTAGTGGTGGGGTTTCACAGTACTAGGGTTTACTTAACTTTCTGTTTTGCTTTGCAGCTGATCTTTAAAGAAATTTGAAGTCCTCCTGGGGTTCTTTTCAAGTTCCCTTTCAGGTTTTCAAACCAGAAATCTCATGAGCAATAGCTTTAAAAAAAAAAATGCAGAGGTAGTTTAGTGAGCAATACCTTTGTCTGAAAGATGGTTAAGTAATGCAAGGAAGATAAGACGCAGCTCTCACCTCCCCCCACACACACACCTCATTGGAAGTGATAACAAAGGGAAAACAGAATGCTGCCAGTGGAATGAAATCAGAATTTATCAGTGCTCTCATTCAATAAATACATTCCCGAGTACATGTAACTGCAGGCACTGAATTTGTTGCTTAGAAAGAGGGTTAGTCATGGTCTCTCCCTCAAGAAGCTGCAGCTTTTGCTAGCATAGGGTGAGCTATAGTGGGCAGCATGGAGCAAGTCTTGGAACCCGGGGGTAAGCTTCCTCTGGAGGGAAGGGCCTTCCAGGAGATGGGTGTGCAGCAGTCCAGCTTGTGAAGGGAGCTATGAGGGAAGGTAGTTAGTCTTTGACTGTGGGAAGCATGAAATGCCATTTTAAGGGGTTTGGACTCTACTGTGCCAGCAGTGAAAGCCGTAAAAAGATTGTAGATCAAGAAGAGACCATGATTTGTGTTTTAACTTTGTTTTATAAAGAAAACTCTCTTTTGGCAGTGGAGATGAGATGAGAGGCAGATGATGAGGGCCCCAGGGAAACAGCAGAAGGAATGGTGCTACTGTCTACTTTGAACTTGCTCTGCCTGAACGTCTAAAGCTTGGTTCTTTTTGCTGGATTAGATAGAGAAAGCCAAGGTAGCACTGAAATTTAATTCTAATTTTAATTTCACTACTTATGAGTCATGTGTTCTTGAACAAGGAGCTTAAACACACTGTCTGTCTCATCTTTCTCTCCTACAGAATGATTGCAACATAGTGTCTATGTCCAGGTTGTAGTGTTAACTTCAGTTCTACATCTATGTGTAGTCCTTCACACTGTCCCTATTATGCAAAACATGTTACATATCATTTTTATCACTTTGCTGACTTATTCATTTAATCTTTATGAATTTACTTTTAAGACAATCCAGAGTAATCTGCTGGGGATTATCACTAGTAGATTTTGCTTCCAGAATTTTACTGACATTTTCACCCCCTTTTTTTTTATTTCTATTTTTTTGGTGGTAGTGGGATTTGAACTTAGGCCTCCCATTTGCTAGGCAAGTGCTCTACCACTTGAACTTCTGCCTTTTATTAACTCCTCTTGGATCAAACACTTCCAGGCAGAAATAGAAGGGTAAGGCTTAAAAATTAAAAGCTACTGTCCCAATCACATAAAGTTTGAACAGAAAACTTTTAAACATCTATGTGTAGTCCTTCACACTGTCCCTATTATGCAAAACATGTTACATATCATTTTTATCATTTTTATCACTTTGCTTACTTAATCATTTAATCTTTAATGAATTACTTTTAAGACAATCCAGATAATGCTGGGGATTATCACTAGTAGATTTTGCTTCCAGAATTTTACTGACATTTTCACCCCCTTTTTTTTTATTTCTATTTTTTTGGTGGTAGTGGGATTTGAACTTAGGCCTCCCATTTGCTAGGCAAGTGCTCTACCACTTGAGCTACTGTGCCTTTTATTAACTCCTCTTGGATCAAACACTTCCAGGCAGAAATAGAAGGGTAAGGCTTAAAAATTAAAAGCTACTTGTCCCAATCACATAAAGTTTGAACAGAAAACTTTTAAAGAAATCTGCTATGTACTGGTCACTGCAGGTGAGTAAAGTTCCAAAATTGGGAATATTAGGCAGTCATAGTTTACTGTATGTCAACATAGGCTATCATTTAGGACACCATATTCTGAAATACCAGAACATAGTTTGAAATGCATCTAAATATAATAAACACCTTTAAAAAAAAATATGAGGCCAGATGTGTTGGTACATGACTGTAATCCCAGTTACTTAGAGGTGGCAATCAAGAGGATCACTGTTTAAGGCCAGTCCAGCAAAAAGTAACTGAGAACCCATCTCAACAGATAAGCCAGGCATGGTGGTGCATGCCTGTGATTTGCAGATACCAAGGAGACCATAGAGAGACCCAAAATATGAAACCCAACCTGAAAAATAACTAAAGCAAAAAGGGCTAGAGGGTCAAGTGGTAGAGCACCTGCTTAGCAAGCATGAGGCCTTAAATTCAAATCCCAGTACAGACTAAAAACATGCCCAGTATACAATTTTAATGATCTGTGCCTCTTCTTCCCTCTTTGTGAAATGACTGGAGCACATCCTTAATTTGGAACAGTAATTATATATGTCATGAGTATAATGAAAACCTAATTTATATGTGTTTTAAATTTTTATCAAAGCTGTATATTATTAAATAAATAATTTGTTTTCTATAAATAACTTCAGACTAAGTACTCAGAGCAAAAATCTCATAGGAGGGGACTTGTTCATCCTGTTTCCTTGTGCCAGGCCAGTGATATGTTTCTTCCCCTTGTTAGGGCTCTGTGAAACAGGAATTTGTTTCCATTAAGTTATAGGAAGACGCCACAGAATTTGGGGAGGAAAACTAACTGTCTTGAAACATCTTCTGATGATCTGGGGAAACAGTTGTTGACTGTTGAAGGAGACAAATACATCTCCTCCATAGGGTCAAGGTGAAAATAGGTTTCCTTGACACTAAAGATTTTTATTGTACCTAAAAGTGGACTCTTCATTGATGGAAGGGCATCTTTTATTTGATCAATCAAGATTACCAAACCTTAGGTCACCAACTCCAATTAAAATATAGCCTTCATGAAATCATGATTAAAGTTACAGAAGTCAATTTCATGAAGTGGTAAGAAACTGTGCATTTCCTCCTCCAGGTTCCTGGGAATTGAATGTCAATAGTTGATGAGTGCATGTGAAAAATACCCATAAATTATTAATTATATTCACCAACTTTTCCCCTTTGTTCATGGCAAAGTAATTTGACTGGTTCATAAATTAGAGTAGTAGAGTTTTGTTTTTTTTTAACAAGATAATTTACTGTAAACGTTTTGCAGTATTATGATTGTGTGGTTAGACTAATGAGCAAAGACTGCAGAGTCAGCTGAGGACTGGGTGACTTGTGGTCCAGCCCAGCCTGACTGGGAACATGTGTGTGACTTCCCTGGCGTTTTCTGATAACCTTTGCCCAGTTCCCTTCACAGGGGCTATTGTGAGAACTAAATTAGTGAAGGCTTGTAAAAGCAATTTGAAAGATAAAAAGCACTAAAAATAACTAAATGTAGTTACCAAACTTCCTGCAGAAATCTTGGTAGAAAGAATGGAGTAAATGCTAAAGGACTGGTTTAATATTCCAGGGAACCAGGGAGACTCTCAGCCGGCACTGCGCCACTCTTGGGGATGCTCTTCGGAAGGAGAATGACTTTGCTCTTATCATCGATGGGAAGACCCTCGAGAACGCCCTCGCCTTCGGAGTCCGGCAGTATTTCCTAGACTTAGCTTTGTCATGCAAAGCCGTCATTTGCTGCAGGTGTGCTCTTCTTAACACTGTCAGATTTCTGTAGAAAACGTCACACTGAGTTCTTGATTCTTAAAAGTCACACAAAATTATTCTATCCACGATGTGTAAATGTTAGACGACTTAATTCAGTCAAGACCAAAGGTTCAAGAACCCAGATGGAATTTGTCAGCCGAGTTTTCAAAAGTGAGTCCTAGAAATCATTGGTAAGTATTGCTTATAATTTGTATTCACAAGTGTCTTGCCACTATCTGTATTTAAAATTGGTTATTGGTGGCCAGGTGTGGTGGTGCAGACCTGTAATCCCAGCTACTCGAGAGACTGAAGCAAGAGGATTGCAAGTTTAAGGCTAACATGGGCAATTTAGTGAGACCCCCATCTCAAAATAAAAAAATTGTAAAAAGCACTGGGGATACAGCTCAGTGGTACAGTACTTGCCTAGCACGGACAAGGCCCTGGGTTCAGTCCCTACCATCAAAAAATAAATAAATAAGATTACCTACATTTCCATCTTGGTTTATTCACTACTAAAAGTAATTCTGAGGTGATGGCATGATGTAAGGTGTAAACCAAGTCATTTTCCAAACAGCTTAGGCTGTTTGAGGACTGTTTATTGCCTAGAAAGTCCCTTGCCCACAATATGTAATATTGCCTATATCCTAAATTAAAATCTGTTTTGAATTATCAAGGCCTAATCCAAAAAATTGTAAACTACTTAGCTGCATTCCTGCCTGAGTTTCTTGCCAGGGAATCTTTCCCATCTCTTCATCTAAACTGTTTAAACTATGTCTTCCTAAAATCTGAAGTGTGTTCATGATGATACCCAGTCGTCTCCTTCCCGATCACCATGAAACCTAAGGATTTTCCTCTTGGTCTTCTGCCTGTTGACTCTTGCCAGCTGGTTATACTAGGTCCAGCAGTGGTCAAATGGCCTTCTCTTTCTGGAATACAAAATGTTAGTTGGGCTTCTGAAGAATTTCTCAGAATCTCAGCTTTTACTGTTATCTTTAAAACTATCTTATTTGCTTTTACTATTTCCCAAAACGTTTTATTTACTAATGAAGAAACATTGTTTTTTTAAATCTTTTTTGTGTGAGTTTATTTCCTCAGTTATTCAGTATATGATGTTGTCTCTAAACTTATAATCCATATCTTACAGATATTTCTTACATTCAATTGAAATATAGACCCTGAAATACAATTTAAACCCTACTCAATAGATGTCCTATTTAAGCATCGTTTTGACCATGTAAAATTTTATCATACTCAGAGGATTAAGAGTTACTTATTATTTTCAGGGATCCAATTATTTTAGCAATAGACTATTTTTTCCTCACTGTGACATACATTAATAAGTAACATAACCATAAAGCTCTTGAACAATAAATTATACAGATGTCTAATGTTAGGCAATCAGGCTCTTTGCTTAATCATGAAGAAAGAATTGGAAATTATTTCAGCTCTCATCTTTATTTCAGTATCATCATGCTTTTAAAAATCTGTGTTTACAGTGACTTTTCTTGGTTTGCTTGCTAATATTTTGATAAGGTCTTACTAATGATCAGCTCTGACACTCTTTCATCAGGATAATTTTGTGCTAGATTTGGTCATTTAATCACTTTCACTAATGGGTTCATAAGGATCAAAAGAAGCTTGCTCAAAAGTGTTATGACTGCTGGCTCCTACTTGGAAACAGAACACAGACCAGAAGACAGCACTGTTTAGATAAAATGGCCAGTTGCTTGAGCGAGCATCTGTGATCTGCCTGTTGTGTGCTGGGCACAGGGGCTGCACTTACAAAGATAAGTAAGACTTGCTACCTGCTCTCCGTCTTGTATCCATCTCTTTGTTTTCAGCAGAGTCACAGTTGGTTTGAAAGATGTGGGAGGCCAGTTTACACAATGCAGTCACTGCATCTGAGCTTCATTCTTAGAACATTGCTTAACAGGGTACCTCCCACCATTCTTCAAAAAGTTGAATCACAAAATTAAACAATAGCAGAAGGAGAGGAAAACTAGAAAGCAGAGTCAAGGGAGAAGAAATACTGTTCTGTGCTTGTGAAAGTCTGTCCCAAGATCCTTGTCCTGGATTCTCACAAGTCACAAGGACCTCAGGGCTCCTCCAGTCCCAGGGACCCTGGGAGGGACTCCCTGCCATGCACAGGCAGCTCAGCTCTGAAACTGAGCTTATAAAGTTGTGATGTGTGTGGCCCCTTCCTCCCTTGTCGGTTCTATTTTATGCATGTTTTGAGGATCATGTAGGTCCCCATGCAGACACTGAATTTTATTTAGAGTTTAAAGATTTATTTTTTTTAAGTAAAATATCTTTCCTCAGCTTTTTTTTTCTAATTACCTTCATACTCTTTTTTCCCATAAGGACTGTGGTTCAGCTTCCGGCCTGGCTTTGAGAATTAGTCTAAGCCCATAATTATATCAGTGCCACTACCGGATTTATGTATGTGCACCTTCTTGGCCTGGTGCCTCTTGACATTTAAACTACTGGTGCAGACCATCTTCTTGTCGTTCCATTTGCTGACCTCCAAGTGTAATTTCCATGATAATACTTCTATTGCATGAGAGGAAGAGAAGGGCAGACCTGTGTATCATTCTTGGCAATTAAATCCCAGTGTCGCTCCTCATTCCTCAGATGATTGCAGTCTTCCAGTCTCAGGAAATTCTCTATTTTACTCCATTATAACATAAATACTGAATATTATTTCAAAATACAGTACAGTACTGTTTCCCAAGTTCATTCATGTTCATGTGGCTTTCTGAGGTTTTCCCTCAAGTTTAAACTCCTTTCCAATCTATTGCTTGTCAGTCCACACAAATGAAGCTAATTCAGAATCAGACTCTCTGAAGGCTTCTCTTCAGCTGTACTCACAGTGGAAGCAGCAGAAAAAGCCTTCCCTTAATGGGTAATGAGTCTCCATACTCATTCCATCTTCAGGATTACATCAGCCTCTTTCTTTCCTGACATTATCAGCATCCAGGGCAGAAGGCAGTTTTTAGTGTTTGCCTAATTGCCACAGTTATAAAGATGAGCTTTTTCCCTCAAGAGTCTCCCACTAAACTGAAAGAAGCAGTTGTTCTTTGTCAGGAGTCGTTACGTCTCTCACTCAGCACTGTTTTCTGACGGAAATATTCAGAGACAGAACTAATCCTCCCACTCCAAAATTATCCAGGGCTTTGGAGTCTTGGTTTTGGTTTACAGAGTGTAGGTTGCATGTTATACCTCAAATATTTTCTTTAAGGATGTAAAACCCAAGAAGTAGAATGTAATCTGTTTTTATCATTCTAACAAGCATTGTGTGTTCACAGACACTATGCAGCTTTTGTTTTTATGGTTGCATTTACCTGAGTAATGCAAATCAGTGAATAGGAAACATTCACCTAATTTTAAGGTAGTTTATGGTTTTAAACATAAGTATTCCTTTTAGGCACTTCTTCCCTTTTATTCCCCTGCTCAAGTCCACTGATTCTTATTTGTTGTGGTCATAGATGCTTCTGAAGAATGAATCAAAGCTCTGTATCACTTCCACACAAACAGGCAAGAATTCACATACTATTTATAGGTTTCAAGACCCTAAAACTCCATGGATGAAGGGAAAAAAAAAAAACAAAACTTGTTCTAGGATTCATGAAGATTTATGGACAAGGAAAATCAAGAGCTATCCTGAGATTCTAGATAAATAATTTCTGACCTCAGTTACCAATGCTTTATTCCCCGAGACCTTCCATTTTGTAAATTTGGAGTAATGGCATTTTAAGAAATGCATGTTCTAACTCTTCCTCTCTGGCACTTTGGATACCTAATAGAATCTCTCTAGCTTGGTTTCATGACCTACAAAATGATGAGATTAGAATATAACAGTGGTAATAATCCTTCAGGGCACCTGGATGTTAAAGCAGATAAGAGGGGAGCTGCTCTGACATAGAAAAGTGGGCAGCCCACACACAGGTACCCTTCCTGGGGCATCTCAGCCTAGCTTGAAAGAATCTAGGTCAGAGGCCTTCTCAGCACCCTTGCAGATTTTGGATGAACTTTACTACCGTTGGCCACTCTGCTGGGAAGAGCCTTTCTACTGCTTGTATCTGATTGTCTGGGGACACAGCTGTTCTGCCTCTTTCACTATTCCCTCCTAAGAGTGGGAATGTTGCAATGAAGCTTTGCTGTGTGTTAAAAAGTATGTGGTTTCTGAGGTCCTCATCAGTTCACATAACCCAGCCTTTCAAAGAATTTTACATTTTTTTCTGTAGTTGTCAGTTTAGTTTAAACATATTTTGAAACTTATATTCTGTGACAGTTGGTTGAAAATTGGCTTAGAGCCTCCAGCTTTTAGACTGTCTAGTAATCACTGCTCTCCTACATAATTTATGTATTCATGTCTTCTGAAAAGCAGAAGTTAAATTGAAGTAAGCGTTTTTCCCTACTTGCGACATCTCTAATCAAAGTTTAACCCCCTTTTAGGCTATTTTCCCCATAGTGGATTTAAAAAAAAACCTCACACATATACTTGACTTCAGTGAGCATTGTCACATGGGAATGACATTCTAGGCAAAGCCTTTCACCTTGGTCCAATCAAGGGGCCCTCTCAGAAGAGGTCTGAAGGGACTCTGAATATTTTCTGTCATAGTATGAGTTAATAAATAAATGGTCAAGGCAGAGCTACTTCTTGAATCTTTTGGGATTGTCTTTAAGTATTTCTCTAAGTAAATGTCCTACTTAAAAGGTAGTCATAAAGCACAAATGAAACTAATAAACTCTCAACAAGCATTCCTTTAAAGAAAAAAATTTGGAAACACCTTTGGAAGCCAAGCAGATGTTTGGCTTTGAAAAGGCAAACTGTTAATGAATGTCAACCCTATATTTGCTTCCAAGAAAATCTGAATAAATGTTGGAAATGTTGACACTATTTCTTTCATGAAAGTATGGCTAAAGGAGGAAACACTGAATAAATTTTATAACTTTATAAAATGCCCATATTTTTCTTTAACATAGTCATCATCTGC